AGCTTCCAGATTTCTTACGAGATTTTCAGCGATCTTACGAGATCTTCATATACTTTACGAGGTCTTCAGATCTGTCAATGTGTCACGGAGATATGCAGGCCCCATATGGATTCCAGTAGGAAGGCTTCTAATTGGATCCCAATGGGGTTCTTACTGGATGCCGATCGGAAGTCTTCTTGTTGGAATACAAGTGGGCCCCTCTTGGAGCCGGATAGGATTTCGATTCGATTTCGACACGGAGGCCGCCAAATAATCATTGGATTCCAATCGGACGCCCAGGCGTTCTTCAATGGACTTCCGCTTCGCCTCCATAGGCTTGTTTCGATTGAGTTCCAATGATATTGCTTCCTATTGGATGCCGTTGACAAGGCCTCCTGTTGGACATCAGCAGGACTCCTGCGCATTTGCGTCGGGGGCTTTATTGTATGACAGTAGAGAGGCTTTCCATCGGGTTTCAATCGTTTTCGCATTAGACTCCGACAGGACTCCTCCTGGCGCTGAATAAGGGCCCATTGAAACCCAAGGGGCAGCAAGGCTTAGCAGGATTCACCAGGGCCCGGCAAGGTTCACTAGGGCCTACCAGGGCTCAGCGGGTCTTAGCCAGGGTCTGCCCATGCTCACCACGGCGTAGCAGGGCTTACCAGGGCAGGATTTCCAGTGGAATTGAATTTGAATTCCAATGGGACGGCCTCCTAGCTATTCGGTTGGAATTCGGTGGGAATTTAATCGGAAGCCCAGAGGAATTTCAACCGGAAGGCCTCCTGGGAATTCAATATAATTTTGTGCAGCTGGTAGCCCTGCCTATAGCTGTATGCGAACTGTTTATGGTTTTGGTGCATGTCGCATTTCACCGGGGAGAGGCTTGCCTCTTGGGGTTTCCTCTTAAAATATCATGGTTCCGGTTGGCGTTCCGATCGAGGTCTTCGGAGGCCTTTTTGTTGGAATTCCAACGGAATTGTTGCAGGACGGCCTCCTATTGAAGTCCACAGGCGGACCGCCACCGAACAAACTTAAACCCAAACCGCCCATTCCGTGAGGCAGGTGTGTTGTTACAAATTCTAGTACGACTATTACTACTATTTGTATTTTTAATAATATGATTACTACGACTGCCAGTACGCTTTCCGCCACCACGATTATTACGAATACTACTACCACCTCCGATTCTACTATCACTACTATTACTAACATTATACGTTTTCGTAGTAGTACGACTACGAGTGCGATTGCGACACGTATCCCTATGTTGTTTACTGCTATTACGATCGCTACTACTATTATCGTTGCCCCGAGTGCACTACTGCTATTGTTACTGCTACTGCTATTACTATTACTACTACTACTACTACTACGACTACTACTACTACTACTACTACTTCTACTACTACTACTACTACTACTACTACTACGACTACTACTACTGCTACTACTACTACTACTACTACTACTACAGCTACTACGACTACGACTACTACTACTACTACTACTAATACTACTACTACTACTACTACTACTACTATTACTACTACTACTACTACTACTACTACTACTACTACCCCTGCAACTACCACGGCCACTCTTATTATTAATTATTTGACCACTACAACGCTGTTTACGATTATTTCCACGAGTACTACTAGTAATACCACTACTACCACGACGACTACTACTACTACTGCTACTACTACTTCTTCTTCCACCACCTAACAGTACTACTACCACGACTACTACTAGTATTATTATTCGCATTTCCACCACGGCTACTTCAGCTACGACTGCGATTATTACTACTACTTGAAATACAACTACTACCACTATTAGGGCTAGTGCCACCGCTACTACTACTACAATGATCACTGCTAGTTGGTCCTGATAGTTCCACCGCCACTACTACCACTACTGCTACTACTACTACGACCACTAATATTACTACGACTACTGCGAGTACTAATACGATTACTTCTGCGACTACTACTACTACTACTACTACTACTACTACTACTACCACTACGACTACCACGACTACTGCTACTACTACTACAGTTACGACTTCTACTACTAATGCCATTAATAGTTCTACTACTCTTGCTACTACCAGTGCTATTGCTACTCTTACTACTACATCTATTACGACTACTACTACTACTACTACTACTACTACTACTACTACTACTACGACTACGACTACGACTACGAATACTGCAGCTACGACGTCGACGACTGCTAAACATACGCCGATGGCTATAATCAATAACCACAACCTTAGTAGTAGTACTACTATTACCACGGCTACTGCTACTACTACTACTACTTCTACTACTAGTACTACTACTACTACTACTACTGCTACTACTACTACTACTACTACTACTACTACTACAACTACTACTGGTACGACTACTACGATGATTGCTACTACTACTACGACTACTGCTACTTCGACGGCGACGACTACTATTACAATGATCACTATTTCCACCATTGCTACTACTATCGCTACTACTGCCACCCATGACTACTACGACTGTTTTTGCTACCGCTACTATTGCTACGGCTACTACTACACCTACGACTACCAATTTTCCTACTACTAATATTTCTTTTACTACTACTACTACTACTACGACTGCTGCTACTACTACTACTACTACTACTACTATAACTACGACTACGACTATTACTACTACTACTACTACTACTACTACGACTACTACGACTACTACTACTACTACTACTACTACTACTATTACTATTACTACTACTACTACTACTTCTACTGCTACTTCTACTACTTTTACTGCTACTACTACTACTACTACTTATATCACGACCACTACCACTCCTACGACTACTACTACCTCTACTACAACTACTACGATTACTACTACTACTACGACTACTACTGCTACTACTATAACTACCTGTAATGCTACTATTTCTACTACTAGCACAATTACTACGACCACAACTACTACTACGACTACGACTACTACAACAACTATTCTCATTACTACTACTACGATTTCTACTGCTATGTATACCGCGTTTTCTGTTCGTTCTACTATGACAGGTTCTGTGACTGCTACTACCACAACCGGTGTGCGCGTCAAGGAACCTTCGGCTCAGGACCCTCAGGTGGCCGACGTAGGCCCGCACCCATTTCCGCAAAGACCGCCACCCCCTCGCAACAACTTGCTTGTCACAGGGTTCAAGATGGGCGGGGCGAAGGGCGCGTTAACCGAGCGACCGAGCTGCAGACGTAGCCTGCCCAAGAGGAGCTGGACGGATGCCCATCTCTTGGGCGCGCACCATCACCGCCGAGGTCTCGCGAAGCTTGCGGCGCAGAGTGGACCAATACGACCCAATGAAGGTCGCGATGAAAAACGGGGCCGCCTCGGAAATCGACGCAGGGCCTCCCCGACGAGTTCACACTACTCCTGGCGAGGATAGCGGGATTCTCCAGGCAGCAGAGGTGCACGAACACAATGAAGGGCGTCACCCCAGTCGTTGTTTCTTCGCTTTTACCCGAAGGGGTTTGATGAGGTCCACAAGCTCCTTGCAACATCAGCCGTGGTCTTGCGGGCCATTGACAGCATATGTTGCCCTTCCTTCTCCTCAGACAGATGCTCCACGTCAACGTCGTCATTAATGATTGGGACGTGCTCCCCGCCCTCGTGGGGCACGCCTCGCTGAGGACCTGGAGCTGGGGCTGGGCGCTGCCTGGCGACCGCTGCCATCTTGACCGCGCACATCTGCTTTAAACTTCGCGAAAGCGGAGGAGGTGACCATGGCATCGACCTCCGCCGCCTCGGGGGACTCCAGCTCTGTGGGGTAAGTCTCCAGATCGACCGCAGCTGCCTCGGGCTGTCCTGGAACAACCTGCTGCATGGTCGACTGGAGTTCGATCTTGATCGCATCGATCTCCACCTTGAGATTGCGTTGGCGTGCGTAAAGCTCTACCAGCGTACGCTGTGTTTCCTCGGCCGCCTGGGCATGATCCTCGATTTAGTGGGACAGGGAGTCGAACTTCTTTTGGTTATCAGCCAGCTTGTGCTCCAGGGTCGTGTGACGGGGCAGTAATGGCTTCTTCTTCCGGATCGCCCCACGAGCCGCCTTGAGTTCGTTCTCCGCAGATTCCACGACAGTTTTCAGCACCTCGTCACACTTGCGGATGGTTTCAGGAGACTCCCCCACATGCTGCACCGTGACATGTAGTTTATCATCGTCTGGCGAGACTGCTGAGGTAGCCTCCGTCGCACCTCCTGTCGAGCCTGATCCGTCTCCGTTGGCCGATGAAACCGCGGAGGGGAGGGCCTGGGGGAGGAGGAAAACGAGGATGAATCGGAAGGGGTGGATGAGGATCTCTCCTTCCCGCCTCCGCTGTGCCCACTCTCATCCGCCCATCGTCTCCCTCAAGATCTCACCATTGGCCCTTTCCCGTTCAGCCTCCCTCCTGCTTCCCCTCTTTCCCTCCTTCCGTCCTTTAACCAGACAGGCTGCCCTGAAATGGCCAGGAAACTCGGTCGTTGATTATGTTCTCTCTTCTCGATGCTCCTCGTCCTCCTCTTCTTCCTCATCCGTGCTTGAGCGTCTTAGGATCCCACTCTTACAAGACATTCGAGGGTGAGCATGATGCCTCGCCTTCCCGCCACGGCGATTTCGAGGCCCATTTGAGGTTCCCTCGAGCTGCCACGTTGGCCGTCGGCGCCAGCCACTCACCAGCTGCCCCGAGCTACCTGCGATCCTCCCGTTCCTCCTCCTGTTCCTTTCCTATGCCTTTCGCGCCCCTCTTCTCCCCCCGATCCTCGCCCCTCCGCCCCCCCTTGTTCTTGTGGCATCTTCGAGCCCAGTCAGAACAGGGCGCAGCCGGACTTGCACAGAGAAGGAAAGGAGGAGGAGGAGGAGGAGGAGGAGGAAGAGGAGGAGGAGAGGCGAGCTCAGCAGGCTCGCGCGGGCGTCACTGCCCCCCCGTCCCCCCCCCCCCCCCCCAATGCCGCGAGGGCCTGTGCTACAACACCGCGGGCGCGGCGAAGGACAAGCTGGGCCCCGGCCTCGGCCGCCCGCTACAGGCCCCGCGTCACGCGCGAGGGCCCCGCCGCCGCGGGGAGGCGCCGCTCCCGCGGCTCGCCCATTCGAGGTCGCGGATTTGCGGCCCGAGTTTCGGGGGAGAAAAAGATACGGATACGTGTTGTCCCCCTTCGCTTTCGGGCTTTCCTGGTCCTCCTGGGGAATCCTCGTTGTCACCGCTGGATTCGCCTCGAAATTCTGGTCAGAACGCACCCCAAGAGAGGTCCGGGGACAACACGTATCCGTATCTTACCGCCCCCCAAGAGTTCACACCGTTCGGGGGAGCGTAAGACCTGGGTTTGCCAGGACTCGGGTTCGCCATCGTGTTTTGACGACCGCGTCTCGGATTTCGACGAGGAGGAGTGTCGTGGGACGTCTGCAGCGGGAGGCCTCGTCAAAATGCAGGCTCGACCTCGTCATTTTTTTGACGACCTCGTCGGGGATTTCCGAGTCCCCTGTACCCAGGTCTTACGTCCCCCTGAACCGTCGGGCGCATGCCGCACGGCTGATTTTGTGTGTTCTTGTACGCAGGAGCACCGCCAGCTTTCTACTGCGAGCCGCATGCTGTACCCGCACCAGCAGCAATGGCTGAGCGCGGCACGGCACGCTGAACAGCAGGTGCCAGGCACCGTGGCCTTGCCTGATCACTTCAGTTGCCTTGGAACGTAGCTTTCTTCTCGAATTGTGTCGCAGTTCTGCAATTTGAAGCCTGCAGTCTGGGCTGTCAATTGCCCCTGGCGTGTCGGAGCCCCTGGCCGAGAAGCCAAGGCTCGCCTCAGGGCAAAAGCTTCCACTAGCGTGCAAAGACTGTGGATGCCCCCTGCATCCACCGTCGCGGGAGAGGGCCGGAGCGGAAGGGGAAAAGTAAGTGGGAAGGCACAATTTCTGACCTCTACAGTGAGGAACCGTTTGCTGAGCGACACGCTATCAGCTTGCAAGGCATAGCGTCGCAGGAGCCGCTGCGACACGCTAGGCAAAATTGTTTCGCCGTAGACCCTGCCCCAGCGGACCGACGACCTCGGTGAACTCAGGCCCCATCTCCCGATACCAGCATTCCAGGCGCCAGTCCCCAGACCCACGGCGAGCGAGGCTTCAAGCAAGAAGGCTGGGAGGGACGGGCGAAAACTACCAGGAACATCCGGCGGTTCGGGCGGGCGGGACCCCGAAGCGGCGGGCCGCTCGCTCTGCAAGAACGTATCCGAAGGAATCCCAGTCGACAAGTGCACTCCGACAAAAAATCGCATGGACAGGGCACCCCCATCGGATGGGGTGGAACACGAGTGCGGTGGAGTTGCTATTCCGAGAGGCACATCCGTCAGCCTCAAGGGCAAGATCTCCAGCATCCTCGACGGAACCCATGTGCGGACTCGTTTAGTGCTTAGTACTGTCCTACTACGTAAGTCTGAACGCTGGTTTCGGTTAGCTATTCCGTTTCGGGGTACTCTCTGGGACACCGAATTGTCCGTTGTTGTTCGGATTTGATTTGTGTTTGCGATTATGTGTGTGAGTGCATGTGCGTATGTGTCACAGTTTGTTTGACTACCCGTCCAGGTCATCCCTGTTCTGCCTGATACATAGGTACGCAGTCGATGCGCATTCATGAGATCGCGCGAATACGCTCGCGGTGCCGAAGCCCTCTGCGTAAGGGCACGCTATATCATCATCACGTGTTCCCCTCGCGTATTTCTATCATCGTCTCGATTGTGGCCCTTCCTGTGGGAGAGCGGGCGATCTACTTTGCATTTATGTTAGAAGGGCTAATGGTAGATACGGAGGAACACAGATGAGGCAGGAAGGCGGAGGGACAACGATACTGGTTATTAACCCTGGCCGCCGGTACGGGGAAGAATGCTGGCTGCTCGATGCGTGCTGGAAGCGGCCAGCAATTGAAGTGCGCCAGAATTGAGCCGGCCGTGCTGGCACCGCTGTTGCCAACAGGGCCAGTTCAACAGCCTTGACGCGTTGTGAACAGCCTGTTGGTAACGCGTCAGGGCGAATCGAGGGTCAAGCGAGCCATAACACCTGCATCAGGATGCAATTCCTGGACGTTTAAAATTCAACATCGGCGCATGGTGTGTGTCCATGCCCGAAGACTCGTTTAATCTGCCAAAGTCGTGAATTCCGCCAGATCCCACCGCAATCCGGCTTAATCCTGGTTTCAACTGGGGCTCATACGGCCCGATTCCCCCCAAACAGTGTTTTTTAAGGGGATCTTATTTTGTATTCCAAGGAGTTGGGCCTGGTTGGCCGTCTGGAAGCTCCGGTGTCGCCGTCGCCGCCTCGTCGTTGGCCGTCGACTTGGCCTGCTCAGCGGTCTGGCGGCTCCGTGGTCGCCGTGGCCGCCCCGTCGCCGCCTCTTCGCCGCCAGTCGTCTTGGCTTGGTAGGGGGCCCGGCGGCTCTGTGGTTCCCGTCTCTGCCCCGTCGCCGCCCCGTCGCCGGGGCTTGGTAGGAAGTCTGGCGGCTCCGTGGTCGCTGTCGCCGCCCCGTCGCCGCCTCGTCGCCGCCCGTCGTCTGGGCCTGGTTGTTGGTCTGGCGGTGCCGGGGTCGCCGTCGCCGCTTTGTCGCCGCCTCGCAATTGTTTCACCGCGTGGGTTTCCTGTTTCGCAACAGCGTTCGGATATACCCCTCCGTCCTCGCGCCCCCCCCTTGAAGTATTACAATTTGAGTACGCGTTTGCCCCATCGTTCATTCTAAATTTCAACGCCTGCCATCCCAGGGAGTGCCTTTTATCGCCCCCCTCATCTGTACCAAATAGTACAATGCACGTTCACTCTTTTGTGACTCACAGAAGAGCACCGTCAGAAACTTCCACGCATGATTCACAGAAGAGAAGTCCACACGCGCGCAGCGGCCCGCGCGCATGCCGAAATCCGTTAACACCTTTGTTTTCCTAAAGATTTCAAGTCTGATGTTGTTTTGTCACATAAAAAGTCACCGGTGTTGCAACATGGTGTGTCTAAGAAGATTGCGCGTGCGTTCTTGCGATTTTTTGTAAACACGATGTTTTTTGTTCATCACATTCGACGGGGTGGGCCTCTCGCGCGCGCATGTCGAAATCAATCGGACGTTTGTTGCCCGTTGCTGGGGCGGGGGCGATCCCTGCCAAACAGTACCATGCTGGCCGCTCGCGCCCGTCGGCCGCGAACGCATATGTCGAAATCCGTCCAAAAATTCCATCACCGACACGTAGACACAATGATCGTCATCGGCGCGATCAGCATCGGCGCCGTCTTTGGTCTTGTCATCGTCATCGTCATCATTGCCACCATCATCTCTATCAGCATCATCATCGTGTTTGCCGTTGACGACGTCGCCATGATACTGCGCCCGCTCGCACGGAAGTGCCCGGGCGTCAGCGCGGCCTGCGAGACGCGCTGACCGCGTCGGTCGCGCCGCCGCCGCGGCCGCGTCCGCCGCGGCCGCGTCCGCCGCGGCCGCGTCGGTCGAGCCAGACTAGCTGGCCGCTCTGCGCGCGAGCCTGCGCGCGATAGCGCGGCCGCCGCACTGATGCGCCCGCCAGCCGGCGTCAAGCACTCATCGCAATCGCCGCCACGCTGGTTTTTCCATCCAACTTTCCGGTGGGTGGGGGGATGATTGCGCGAGCAGCGGAGTTCACTTGAAAGGTTTTCCACACAGGTTGCCCAACATATATTGCGCCACACAACTTGCATTACCTAAAATTCACAAGGCAGAACAGCTTGCATTATTTATGTTGTAAACCGTAGAATGCTTGACATGTGTTGCGTCGCATAGATACCACCACATACATTGCACCACATGGATGATCCGTTCTAAATATGCCTTCACCTACGGTTGTTGCAGTGCGCAAGTGAGTTCGCTTCCGTTGGCATTTTCCAGATGAGTCCTTACAGTCCCAGCCCCAGTGGTATCGGCTCCCGCCACCATCCCTACCCAAAACAATAATGGGCGCGCAGTTTTTCATCTGCAACGATTTGTTTCCAATGTTCGGTTGCAACACATCAGGTGGCATGTACACATGTCAAGTAGTGCGGCAGATGTCAGGATTTCAAAATCGAGTGTTCCGAAACATTGGTGTACAACCGTTGTCAACAGCTTCATCACATGCGACCCAGCGTGTCTTTCGCGCGCGCATAAAGAAATCATTCGAACGTCCTCGCGCGCTTGTGGTTGCACGAATCCTACGCGCAGAATGGGACTACATATGCGCGGGTGTCGTCGCGTGCGCATGCCAAAATGCCTCAAGCACCTTCGGTTTGCAAATATTTTGGAACCGACGGTTCTGGAAACATGGGTTAACGAGAGCAAACGATTTTGGCAACCAGGGCTTTCAGAAAAACGTGCGTTCGCGATCCTTCGAATTCGCAAATGGAACCCTGGTTTTTGCTGAACATTTCCATACAATCCAACCAAACGTGTTTTTCGCGCGCGCATGTCGAAATCATTCGAATGCCGTTGCGCGCGTGCTGGGGGGCACGAGCCGTATCAATGCTGCCATGCATGCCACTCGCGCGCGTTGGCCGCCCGCGCGCATGTCGAAATATTTCCAACATTGTCATCACCGACACGTGGAGACCATCATCATCGGCGGTGATCCGCGGTGCCGTCATTGGCGGTGCTGTCGTCATCGCCATCATCACCACTCGCATCGCCTAACACCGTCGCATCTGCTAGTGCCGACGTCGCCATGGTATAGCGCCCGCCCAGGTCATCGACTCGCATCGAAGTGCCCGCGTGTCAGCGCGGCCAGCGCAACGCATTGGGAAGGATCCAGCGGTAAGCGCCACCTCGGCCTCATCGGTCGCGCCAGACTAGTTGGCCGCTCTGCGCTCGAGCCTGCGCGCGTTAGCGCAACCGCAGCGATGCACCAGCTAGCGCCAAGCAGTCATCGCAATCGCTGCCGCATGGGTTTTGCACCAACTTGCGGGTGGTTTGGTGGGATGATCCGGCAGGCAGCGGAAGAACGCCCAGAACACCTTCTAGTTGATAGTGTGAAAGGGTGCCTGAAGCGAACCAGCACGCTTCGAGTGGGCGTCCCGCACAGACCGCTGGCAACCCGAAGTGCACCCATGGTGAGCAGGCACGTTCCCAGGACATCCTTTTGCAGATGGCGTTGGCAGCCTGATGCGCCCCAGGAGCGAGCTCGAAGACAACGCTGGCACCGCGGAGTGTGCCGGCAACACACTGGCATGCTCGACGTGAGCGTCCTGCAACCAGTGCCTCCAAAGAGTGCAGTACACCACCGAAATCGAGCCACTACTCAGAGAGATGCTTTGTTTCGTTCGCACCGCCAGCCTTGCTAAGTTCGTTGGCAGCGAACCGATCCGCTGGAACGGAGGTTTGCGGCGGGTGTCAACGCGACTTGCGCTAGTACTGAGCCGATGCGCTGCGCAGACACTGGTGGCGGTGCGACACGCGCCAGGAGTGAGCCGACACTTTGAGAACAGCCTTCCCCGCAGCAACATTGTAGTGCGCCGGAAGCGAGCTGGCACGCTATGGCGCCTCTCCAGCGACGCCCGTCTTCAGCCTCCCGCCGAAGAGGGAAACAAACTTAGTGGGGAGACGCCAGGAATGGATGGACGTAATTCTTGCCGCTTCGCGTATCCCCACCAGCTCTTTCGCTGGCCTGCGCCTCGGTAGCTGGCGCCACTGTGCGACCCTCCGCTGCCGTTGTCCCGCCCTGGCTAAT